TGAACAGGAACACTCAGTATAGGATTCCTGTTCATTGATAACAGGGGCTACAGAAAAAGAGATAGAGGACTCCGTGTCCTCAATCTCTTTTTGTTTTCTATTTTTAAAAGGGAAATATCAGTCTGTCTGTTTAGACCCCTAATATTTCCCCCGAAGCCCCATAAAAGTAAAGTTAAAAAAAAATTAATAAAAATGAATATAAAAAAATTAAAAAGGTTTATAAAAAAATAAAACATTTTTAAAAAAATTGAAAAAGTTAGAATAAAAAACATTTTTGGTTTCGGTCTGATATATATATATATTATTTTTTTTAATTTCAGTTTTTAAATTTTCATCTACTTTAAAAAGCAAGGAGCCTTCCACTTTCTTTGCTGTCCAACATGTTTGTTCATCCTTCCAGTTTTACTGTCTCTAGGTCTCTTTGTGATGTCGGGTGACAGAGCTGTTTGGAGCGTTTTAGATTTCATACAGCGTTGTCCACTTTTCCTCAGTGGCACCTCAGCCGACCACAAGTGATGCCATTGACCTCTCCTCACTCCACCTACAGCAGTAGACCATGCTACGAGGGCTGCTGGGAGTTGAAGTCATGCAGAGATTTGTGACAACGGCGGAGGAGATGAAGTACAAATGTTACCCTCTGCCCATCATAGAAGATAGTGGCCAAACTGAGCAGCAGAAAAGGAGCCTTTTTCATGCATTCTTCACAAAGGAATGTTTGGGCATCACTAGAGGTCCTCCACAGATTGTCATGTTTAGATGACCTGTTACAATTGCTATAAAACTGAACAATAAAGCAGAAATGATGTTAATTAATGTTATAGTGTGTTGTTTTCTCTGTATGGACTTCCAGCAACCTGATTGGTCTGTGGGCCAATCTCTTGTACACATTGACTTCCAGACAGACATGTGTGGGATTCACAGAAGACCACTGATGTTGGGTAGCTGAACATTTTCTACCTCTCACCTTTGCTGCTATTGATGCTTTAGCAGAGTACATTAAAGGAGAACTATGAGGTGAGTGAACACATACCGTCGCTTGTTCACTTCTTGATCATCTCCCTGCAGAGAGCGTTGACTGTCACTCACGGTTCCCTGCAGGGATTCCCCACTCCTCCAGCGCTGCCTGGCGGAACGAACGGGGGCGGGTACAGCTGGCACTGCCTCTAGATAGGCAGATCCATCCCGGCTGCAGCGGTCTCAGTATATCGTGAGCTGTACATACCTGAACGTGACCTGACATCTGCCATTTGGAATTCCCTGTACAACAGCACTCCTGACTGGGGACCAAAAACGTGTGCTAAATGTGATAAAAAGGAACATTCTGATAGGAGAGAGCAGTGTGAGCAGAATGAGAACCTCATCAGCCTGCTGATGCTCTTTCACTGTGAGCCGATGACACCAAAGTATTCCTACCTGTAAAAGAGACTGTAGTGTAGTCCTCTTGGCTGTGCCAATCTCTGTGGTGTGAGCTCTCCCTTAATGGATTTGTATTTTTGTCCATCCACACCAAAGAGTGCGTTCCAGAGCGTTCAGCCCCTGGAACACACCCTGGCCGGCTCTCTGCATTCAGGGGCAGGAGCAGGCGTGGCTCTGGCACTGCAGCCACACACCCCACCCGCAGTTTGATCGCCGGCCCCCAAACACGTGGCACATTAGTGCCTGCGTTCCGGGCCATTGCGATCTGCTCCATGCACTATTTTTGCAGATCATAATGGACCGGAACGCAGGCACCAATGCCACACCCCCTTCCTCCCATGAATGCAGGGAGCCAGCCGGGTTGCATTCCAGAGGCCGAACACTCTGGAACGCACTCTGGTGTGAACCGGCCCTGTAAGGATTCCCTTATATGTATTTCAACTATTTAGCCTGGAGTTCTTCTGAAAACCCAATTGAACTTTCAGCTTAAAATCGGAGAAATACAATCCAGGTGAATCAAAGCATAACGCATGCAAACTCTTAGGGTGAGTTCACACCATAAGCAGTGCGTTCCAGGCCGATTCTAGTGCTTGCAGCATTTTGATCGCACCGCGCTGCAGTCACAATGTGCCTTGCGATCCCGTGCCGGAGATCACATTGCGGCCGGAGGCCGTGGCTACGGTGCCATTCACTTCAATGGCCCGCCACGCTCCCTCCAGCCCGGCAAAAAAGTGAGCCGGCCGCAATGCGAGGCAGTGCGTTCTGGCCAGAATCGGACAGGAACCAACTGCTTATGGTGTGACCTAACCCTTGGGGCCCATTCACACCATCTTCAGGCAATTACCGCACAATGCAGTGGTCCCTCTGCAGAGGTCCAACATGCACCCTGTTGAGTCAGACATATAGCAGCAGGCTTAGGTCAGTCCTCTGCAGAGAGAGCGCACTGCTTCCATTTAACCCTTTCGCTGCCAAGCCCTCCGGAACATTTTTCAAATCAGCTGGCCGCGCCATTTTTGAATTTTCTGCAATTTTTTCCTATTGATTTGATTTTCAACTGCTGCGTTGTTAGCGTTTGTAAAAGACCCCCCAAACCATATATTTTCTGAAAGCGCAGGCCCGGTAGAATAAAAAGATGGTGATACTAAATTTGTAGGCCCTGCGATAATTGCGCAAATGTTTCTCAAATTAATATTAAACCGATAAAAATACACAATTCAATTGTTAAAACC